ATACGAGCTTCAGATAACAAAAGAATTGAGCAGAGAAGGGTAGTTGCTAACCTCAGAATAGGTATGGCGAGCCTCCGGCCAGCTCGGACGACCTCGCCGACAATCGCTTCGACCTCGAACGGTTTATTCGCCTCAATGTCGAGCACTGTGCTGGGCTGATGTTTGCTTCCCACGTTCTTGAAAGTAGCGAGGTGCCAGTCTAGGAAACCGTCCACGACATTAGAGGGTAGGTGCTGTTCTGAATAGCCCAGCGCACGCCCAACCGCGACCACTTCCTCGGCGGTTTCCCGAAGGAGGGGCACAACCCTTTCCCATAGCGCGGGTGTCGCAGTATAGAACGCTGGCGGTACTCGTGTAAAGCAGCTTAAGGGGGCGAAGGCTGCATTCCTGTTTGGCCGAGGTATCATCTAGCGCTTTCTCCTTCGCTTGAGGCGACTAGCTCCAAATACTTACCAGATATTCTTGCGGAACTTTACCGCTTGAATATCGTCAGTAACAACGCCATCGCCGCCACCTGCTTCGACCATGCCCTTGAAACTAGCGAGTTTAAGCGACGCATCACCATCGTCTATTGCTTCACCACTGGGGCGGAAAAGCCCCAATTCTAGCTTCGGCTTTCAAGATGCGGATTGTTAGCTTATCAGTAGCAGTCCAGGTGTGACATACTCACTACATTGGCTGGGTGCTCCATAATATTATCCACAAGGTTCGCCACGCAGTAGACGGCGGTAGTGATAATCCCGGGTGAAGTGGGTTGTTTCATCTCTGTCAGTTTGTTGTACAAATCGGTCTCTACTCCTAGCCCGTTCTGTAGTATGACATAGGTAGGGGGCGGATGTGTGTAAGAGTGGGATAATAACGGTCCAAGCAACGTTGGGGTAGGTAGGACATCCGGGAGAGCCTTCGTAGTAACGACGACGAAAGCGTATTGACGATCCGCTGCGTCCGCGACTGTGCGACAGACTGCGCGTCTCAACGTCAACCATAAAGTATCGGTGAAACCCTCAGATTATGACATAGACGTACCTCGCTCAGGTTTAAAATCGGTTACTCTTCCATACAGATGACTGCTAATGATGATCTGGCCATTCTCTTCTCATAAACCGATTAGTCGCTGGCAAGACTAAGTTTGCCGGGGAGTTCGACTCACTTGCAGCTTCATAGTTGCTCCTGTCGCAGAAGTACTTCACTTTAAGTATAGCCACAGGTCTCGAGATCTGCAACTGCCACTTGCCTGGCAACGACGGTGAGTCGACATTTCCCTGAGCGATGTAGAATGTAGCCGACTTTCGACGAGATGTAACGCCCGTTAGTCACCTGCCAGTGCCACTCTCTTCTATACTCACAGAGAATGCCAACGGCGCCCCATCCAACAACCAGGATTTCTTCAATTATTTCAGTCGATGAGTCGCCCCCAGCTATCATTTTTAAGGTGGGTGAATTAAAGATTTGGTTCCATTCTCCGGGCCGCCTGTGCCGATTGCCGACCTCAGAATAACAACCCTTACACCCATTGGCTAATAGCTAATATACTACTACTTTGGACATGTCACGGAGCCATTACAAGCGACCCTGAAGCGAGAGAGCGTAGTGCTAGCCTTTCAAGTTGTGAGCCTGCACCACAGACAACATAGTGTAGATCGCTTCCATCCTGTGCGGGAAATACATCAGAACCAATAGCTGCTCAGTGTAAAGGGGATCGGTCTCTAACCTCGGAATGGGCACACCAAGCTGTCGCCCCGCTCTGACCACCTCACCAACAATCACTTCGACCTCAAATGGTTTGTTCGCCTCTATGTCGAGTAGTGTACTAGGTTTATGCTCACTTTGCGCATCGCTATAAGACGCGACATCCCCATCAATGAAGCCCTGTATAGCGTCGGTAGGCAGGTGCTTCTCAGAATAGCCTATCGCACGACCGACCGCGAGGACCTCCTCTCCAGTCTCCCGAAATAGGGGTGCGACCCTTCCCCAAGGTGCAGGCGTCGCAATATAGAAGGCTGGTGGTACTCGTGTCAAACAACTGAAAGTGGCGAAGACCACATTCCTAAAGAAGAGAAGACGGCAATATGAGCGGTTGCAGTCGACTCGTTACTGACCGCATTTGCTCACCAGATATTCTTACGGAACTTTGCAGCCTGTATATCTTCTGCGATGGTTACAGCACCTCCGCCAGCTTCTACCAAGTTTTTGAATGAAGTAACGCTCGCGCCCTCGCTGTGGGCTTCCCTCCTAGCACTCCCTCGGGGATCGAATAACCCGATTTCTAATTTTGGCTTCCATAATCACCGGTTTAGTTACGGCTTCAGGGGAGGAGATGGAAGACCTACTAGACCCGTAGGGTGCCTCATATCATTCTCGATTAAGTTCGCATCGCAGTAGACAGCACAGGTGATGATTTGAGGAGGCGCAAGAGGCGCCCTTTTTGTGAGTCCCGCATATAAATCCTTCTCTATTCCGAGCCCGTTTTGAAGTAGGGCATAGGCCGGTTGGGGGTAGGTATACGAGGGGGATAGCAGCGGTTCGAGTAGCTTTGATGTGGGCAAGACATCCGGCAATGCCTTTGTTGTAATAAGAACGAAGGAGTATGAGCGATCTGCCGCCTCTGCGACAGATCTAACGACTTGATACCTCAATGTCAGTTGTATGACAAGACAGATGACATCGCTACGCCAACCTCGCTCGGAAATGAAATCGGTAACACTGCCAAATTGATGACTTGTAATTGTGATCTGTCCACTTTCTATTACATCACAAATAAGGCACTCCGTATGAATCAGGTAGCCTATTTGACTCACTTGCTGCTTCGTAATTGCTCCTAGAGAGGATTGTTTCACTCTTCATGGCAACAAGCCTCTGGCTCTGTAGCAAGCTTCACTTACCTGGCAACTACTGTCAACCGCACCCTCCCGGAGCGGTGAAGAGTGTAGCCGTCTTCCAAATTCAATTTGGTGTTATCAAAGACTAGAATACCAAACACCCTCAGTGCCACTTACAAAGGATCCCAACTGCTCCCCATCCAACGACGAGGATATCTTCCATGGCTAGTTTATAGCGGCAATCACTTCCGGTAAAAAGGCGGAATGGTAGAAGTTCTTAGTCACGGAGATTGCGGTCGATACTGCAGGGCAAACCAGGAGGCCTTAAGGTTCCTCTCTTCGGGGTGACTGCCCTACGGCTTAGCTTTCAAGTTGCTGTAGGATGATATCCATTTAATATCCGTTTTACTTAGAGTCACTAGCCCCGGCCTCATGGCCCGTTCGAGAGCCAGATCCCCCAAGGCACGCTATTGTTATGCATTATCACAGAGGTCCATTACTCTAAAGATATCTATCTATGGAGATGACTTGAACCCGTTCTATTCCTGACTCGCTGTGATCATGTTGGCTTCGTGATCGTCACTTCCAACCCTCCATCGACTCGTTCCACTGACATGCTATGTCGGAGATATCAAATATGAGCGAACGGCCCAGGGTATAATGGGTGCTACATACCAAGTCAGATCACTGATCAATATATCCGGCTCCGTTTGAAGCATTCGTTCCTTCGTATGGGATGTGCAGACCGCGACAACGGTGCAGCGTGCAGCTTTTCCGCTGGCAATGCCCGACGGAGCGTCTTCAACCACGAGGCCTGAAAATACGCCCCTTCAGCACGGGCGCTCCAATTGCAGGGGGGAAAACTCACACTTGGTCGGATCAACTCCGCATTTCTCAGCTCCTAAGAGGTATGGATCTGGAAACGGTTTGCCTCTGGAGACATCATCTGCAGTAACCTATACGAGCCAAGATGGTCAGAGCGCGGCCATAAAGTATCGAATACTTGTTCTCGTTCGTACAAAGACGGGTGGTTGACGAATATGTACCGCCTCTAAAAATGGCTCGCCTTGTGAGAGTGCTGACAGACCATGCAATGTTCTCACACGCACCTAATGCGCCGTCTGCGTATGCGTGCGTAGCACTGGTACAGATGGCCCAATCTTTGTCGCCAAGCTAAGTAAAGATAGAAGTAGCTATCGTTTGGGTGATGTACCAATCGTCACAAGACATCCTGTACTCACTGAAGCCAAAAGTTCCTTGACACCTGGAAGAAGAACTATACCTGCCTCCCCTTGTGCTTCGGCTTTCTTCGACTCAGTGACAATGGCCATTTCGAAGTCATGGACACGGGTCTGTATTGTCGTGTAATCAGGATCCGATGGCACAGCTATCGAGTCCAGCATTATAAATAGCTTACAGGCAGGTCGGCCTCAGGAATCTCCGGATTCCATTTCCTGAGGTTGTCAATTGTCCTGATACCATGGCTTGCTGTTTTTAAAAACCGATGAGCAGTGCACCTCTGGACGGAACCCATGCGTTTTGCAGCTTACTCCGAAGAATGTGCTTTATGTCCAAGTGAGGATAGAGTGTACCCCAATACGCCCAGGCCTTTTCCACAGCTGCAGTAGAGTCGAGCAGTGTCTATCGCAAACGGAGGTTAGTTGGTCTTGTATGAGTGAGATCAACGAACCCGGACTTACGCCATCCATATCAAAGCTAGGTTGAGGAGACGTCAGCATGAACTTTATCGGGCTCGATGACCCACTCACAGAATGGCATCGACAAGGATCTTAGTTTCCGACATGGCCAGAGCAGTGGGAGGGAGTCAGGTTGGTGTGAGCTCTCATCATGCATCGGGAAAATAAATACCCGAGCCAGCCACCCTAGCCCGCAATTTACCATGAGGCCGGGTCTGATTGCACCCGGTAGACGTTTAGGAGACTGAGGTGCGAACAGCTGTCAAGAAAGCGGGGGATAATTGCGTGGCATCAGGGTGGTGAATGAGCGGAAGTGACCTAAAGAAAGATCGGAGTTGAACGGACCGTCACTGAGCCCCATCGGCAACTCCCCTCATTGGGGCGAGAACCAAAAGCAAAAAGCAAGGACAAGGACTCAACAAGGCCGAACTCAACAGAGAACGGAGGTAGAAAGCCCGAAGAGCAGTATATACTCAATGTCAAATGACCACCGCAGGGATCGAACCTGCAACTTCCCGCTATAACTACAAGTCGTAGGCGGACGCGCTACCATTGCGCCAGGTAGCCAGTCGGGAAAGGTATTTGAAAGCGCTTATTCTCCCGATCAAGATTTGGCGATGTTTGCAGTTGTTTTCTCATTTACACGAGAGCGACCTTGTTACGCTATGGACGTTCCAATCTCCAACATATCTTCTCTCGATGATAAGCATAAGAATTTGCTACTGAAAGGCATGTTAAAGCTATGTCACGAGGATCGATTAGAATCGGCTCCAGGCTTATTCGTACTTTATACAACCAGCTAACTTTGAGGACGCTGCCGATATACTACTTCACTCACAAGACGACATATCAAAAAGGACAAAGCTCTCACTCCCTGAGATAGAGGCCATCGTTCACTCCATCTCTCACGAAATTCTCGATCCTCCGCGAAGGATTTGTAAAACTGAAACCCTTGGCTTCGAACGCTTCACAACTGGTGATCAGGCACTAGACGATCTCCTTGGTGGAGGCCTGCGTACTGGTGCTGTCTGGGAGGTTGCAGGAGAAGGGTGAGCTGTGCTACGACGTTGCTTCCAACTTGCATTAACTCTCTTATTGCAGCGCGGCCGGCAAAACCCAACTGGCCTTCCAGTTGGCTTTGACCGTTCAGATTCCTGTGCACTTGGGAGGCCTAGCTGGTTCTGTGTGCTTCATAAGCGCTGGGTCGACACTCGCTACTCCTCGCCTGGAGCAACTTATCGTGGAGCACCCGATGCTCTCCCCGGGTGATTGTACCCTTTCCGACATTCACACATGTTCAGTCGAGATACCAAAGGCCATGTCATACTATCTCAGGGAAGCCTTGCCAGCGCTCATTACTTCGCTTGCGGCGTCCCCTGGTGCAAAACCCATCAAGCTAATTGTCATAGACTCCATCGCAAGCCTCTTTCGATCTGTTGAGAAGACAAGCACGATAAATCTTGTGGAGAGGTCAAAAGCCCTTGTAGAGATCTCTCATCTGTTACATGCGCTGGCAGTGAAACATGGCCTAGCTGCTGTGGTGGTCAATGATGTCACTGCAGTCTTTGATAAGGAGGTGTCAGTTGCGATCCAGGACTCGCCAGCAGAGCAAGAAGAGCTCGTTTACATGGAGCAGTCGCGATGGTTCAATCGTCCAGACGATACCTATCATGATGACAAGCGAGATGCAGCTTTAGGGCTGGTCTGGGCAAATCAAGTCAACGCTCGTCTATTCGTGAGCAGAACTGGAAGGACGACTACTGTCAACACTAAACCGACATTACAAGTTGTGGAAGATGATGATGAAAGATACAGGAAGCGTCGGAAGATCGAACCGGAGCTGAACGCGAGAGTGATTGGCAGCACACCACCTTCAACTTCAACTCTACTTCGTCGACTGGATGTCGTATTCTCTCCATTCTCGCCAGCTCAAAGTATTGATTTCATTCTCACTCCCTCCGGCCTGAAAACCATTCCAGCAACAGTTACAACTAGACAGCCCGCCAGCTTTTTTGGATATCACACAGCACCAGATGTCATGGTCCCACCGGATCCACCGCCTTCGGACTCGGTAGACACGCTGGTCCACCATTATGCCGAAGCAGACCTTCTGGCGGACCTGGAGTATGACGCCCTGGAGTACTCAGATGAAGGCATGGCAGCGGGAGGAATAGCAGGAGATACAGAACTTTGAGGGCAACTTGTTTGTATCTTGACAGGATCTCTATGATCGTCATCTGAAGTGTCAGAACCGTAGACAGAACAGTGCGAATGACCCTTAGTCTATAACGCGACGCATCCCATCCCAGCATAACGCTGGTTCTTTAATGCCTCCAGTTGTTCCAGGCGACATTCCGGTCGGTGCAATAGTCGAAGTCCAGGCCGGCAAGGGTATTGTGCGATTTCATGGAACGACTTCTTTTGCTCCTGGGCGGTGGATTGGTATTGAGCTACCAGAACCGAATGGCAAGAATGATGGGTCTGTCGACGGCGTACCGTACTTCTCGTGTAAGATGAAGTATGGTGTATTCGTCAGGGCTACTCAAATAAAGTCTGTTGAGCTGCAATCGAACGCCGCAGTGAGTGTCGTGGATATGGTCAGACTTAATCCTCACCCACATATGCTAACCTGATTAGCAGCCACCTCCGCCACCACTGACGTCCCGACCTACTCATAAATCCAATGGTAGTATATCTGGCTCATTTACACCCCCGACACCAGGACGTACGACTTCCACGAAATCCATTGGTTCATCTCGTGCCGCGAGCCCGCAGAAGATCAGCCCAGTCCCTCTTGTTACGCGCCCACGTATTCCGCCGCCCACTCCTTTGAAGCGTACATCTTATCTGCAATCTTCTGCGTCGCCAGGCCAGCCATCACCGTCGCGCGTACCTTCCACTCCTGGTTTAGCACGACAGCTTTCGACCACGCAGCAGCAGGTACTGTCCCAATTACCATCACGACGACAGTCAATCCTACAACCTACGCTCCAGCTACCATCTCAAACATCTTCTGTCGAGTTGAACTCTCCGGTGTCTGACAACACATCTTCACTATCGTCCTCGCCCCTCCCTAACGCACTTCATGTAGACCTTCCAAGCGAGGTTCAACAGTCATCGCCGCGGTCGATCGGAACGGACGGGTTTGCACCACCTCCTCCAGACCCCCCAGTGCGTTTAGAATCAGCATACATGATATACTTCGCCTAATTTGATCGCGCTTGCGCAGAACCCTCCACCAGTTGATGACTCGCACGAGCTTCGTGTCAAGCTCCGAGTCTTAGAAACGAAGCGTGCGGATGACAGTAGGCGTATCAGGGAGCTCGAGGGTCGACTAAATGAAGCAGAGGCCTTCGTCTCCATCCGACCGAAGCTACAGGCTAAGCTGCAACAGTTAAACACGGAAACGGTCGCTCTGAAGCGGACGATAACCGATCAGGCAAGTCAGCTGGCGTCCCTGGAGCGCAAGAACGAAGAACAGTCGGAGCAGCTTGAGATGGCAATGTTGGACCGGGAAGTAGCAGAGGAGCGTGCAGAGGTCGCAGAATCTGAGCTGGAAGGGGAACGCGAGGCAAAGGCGGAGTTGGAGGTAGAACTAGAGGTTTGGAGAAAGGTTAAGGTCTCTGCCGACGGGAGTGGGGCGGATGGCGGCGATGATACATCGGGTGGGCGGACGGAGATGGCCTTCCGTCAGTTAGAAAAGCAGAACGCCCGACTGAAAGAAGCCCTCATCAGGTGTGCCTAGGCCCCAGCTGTTATTGAACGGAATTTCACCCTTCGCCTCTTAGGTTGCGAGACCTAACGCATGAAACAGATGCAGAACAGCGACGACGAATCGCTGACCTAGAGAAGGAGTTGACTGGGGTCGATGATATGCAAGGTTTGTGATTCATGCACCCAGTGCTGGGCACTATACTGATGCATCACCCTCAGCCCAATACGCGCAGACACTTGCTCGACTTGAGCAAGCGGAAAACCAAGTTGATGACTTAAAGGAACAGCTTGACGATGCTCTTGGAGCAGAAGAAGTTCTCGTGCAGCTTACTGAACGGAATCTTATCATGGGAGAGGTAGGTTGTTTCCTTTCCTATGCTCTTGTTGATGCCGACTGAGCTTGCTGTACCATCAACAGAGGATCGAAGAAATGCGCATCACCATTGAAGATCTTGAAGCGTTAAGAGAACTCAATGATGAACTAGAGGAAACTCATGTTGAGACGGAGAAGGCGTTGCAGGACGAGATCGGTATGCCGTTTTATGGACGTTACTTGGCGTACCAGGTCTTGATGATATCGGAGTGCAGAACAGAAGGACACCGAGATTCGCGAGCAGCATCGCAAGGTTGAAGTTCTACAAGAAGCTCTTCAAGAATACGAAAACACTGTCCAACAATTCCGGGAGCTGGTCACGAATCTTCAGGTGTAAGCCTCATTCAATTTCTGCGCTGAGTCTCACGTTGAATCAAGCGTTTGTCTCAGGGAACTTGAGAGTCTACGAGTTCAGCATCAAACCCGGCAGACCGAGTCTCAAGCACAAGCCAGCCAGTCCGCTGCCCTAATGTCTTTGAACATGCGCCTTCAGTCGTCCGCACTTAAAAACCAGGCGAAGAACATCGACCTTGAGCTCAAGAAGTTAGAGGCCAAGCAGGCCAAAGAGATGCTGGGCATTGTGCAGGTTAGCCATATGCCATACCACCGCGGTCTGCCGCTCATACAAACATATTTCCAGCCTTATTTGCCCCAAGTTTACATTGAATCGGACAGTAACGCGACAAATTGCTATATGTTCTTCCAGCGAATGGCGTACAAGCTTGATCTCATCAACTCCATTGTGGCTTCGCAGTATGGATTGCCCGATAGCATCAACGGCACAGTTTCGGAGAAGCTGGTTGGGATTTGCGACGTAAGCAAATTATATTACAACTCCCTTGGGTTGCTACTGACTTGAACTCGTAGATGCGAGGAAGAATTGCTCATTTAGCTGCGCTCTGCAAGCGATCGGCTGCAGTTCTACGATACTCTGATCCGGAGATGTTCTTAAGCTCCGGACAAGTTTATCCAGAAATTGCTCCGCTGGAGAAGAGAGTAGATATCCATATAAATCTCTTAGCCAGGGAAGAATTCCGCGAGTACGAATGCATGCACGACGTCGCAAAGTACGTCCAATCCCACATCTTCAGCCAAGAAATCATGTGCTCACGCAGTGCCACAGGATGATCTTACAGGTCGAACATTTAGCCGACACGTCTTTCGCCCACGCTGAATCGGACCTAGGCGAAAGAGAGCTTGATCTGGCCTCACAGATTGATTGCGACCTAGACACATTCCATGCGACGATCGGGCTAACCAAAGCTGTGATAGAATCTGCTCTGAATGAAGATGGTAAGTCTCCTCCACCAATCCTCGAGGGTAGCTCTGGGATGATAATGGTTGTGTTTAGATGTAACGGTGGAGCTTGGAGACCTGGACATGAACGAGACGTTGTTCAAACCTCTCCAGAGCTTGGTGGATCAATCTAAAGCACCTCGGTTGACATCAACGTCAGTGTGCAGCCTGGATCCTACTTCTC